TATGTACAGCTTTTGTTTAACTTTGGAGGAGCTCTAATGACCCATGATCACTTTAAACTTATGCTGATTTTTATAAACTTGTATTTCGGAAAATTTACATTATACATTTCATAGAGAGTTTAAAAGAATGTTTTATACACTTTAAATCATCTTTGTATAAACTATTTATTTATTTCCAATTTATAAAGAAATAAATGCAGTGGCTGAGTAAGACTTTTTGGGGCATGCGGCTATTATAAAGCAGGTGGTCCCTTTCTATGTCAATAGTCAAAGATTATATTTTTTGTTTCTTTTTCAAAAAAAATTAAATTTAAATCAGGGCCACTTAAACTCAATGGCCTGGGGCTATACCCCCTTCTCCTCCAAACTCTCTTATAATCCAACTCTGGATAGCGGATCTTGAAAAAACGTTTGATAAAGATGTCTTTTTTGTTGATGTATTAATTTAATATCAATATTTTCAGAGAAAAAAATGAAAGTTATCGGAAATATAGTTTTTTTTAATATCATTTTTAAAAGCCTTTTTTAAATTATCGTTAATAATGTTTTTTATAAAAGTAGCTGACGTTGATGTTACTTTTGTTGGTTTACTAGTAGCAAATCAACAAAAAGAAATTGGTTCATTTTTTTATACGTCATCAAGTTAATGCTACCAATTAAATAATTTAGTTTCTCTTTTTTAAACTCTTTTCAAAAATTTCATTACAATGAAATAATTCATTAAAGCTATAATTTCAAGCAGATAATAGGCAATAATAACTGTAATTGTCAGAAGCATTTGACACCATTAACCATCAGATTTTATTAGAAAAACTAAAATTTAATGGAATACGCCATATATACGAATACCATAAATGGTTTACCAGTTACTTAACTGATCGAAAATAGTTTATTTCTCTAAATGACGGCTTTCAGACAAACAAACTTAAAATATCATCTAAACTCGACTGTCTCCTTAAACAACAAAACCAGCACGCATTATTCATTTTCAAAATTGCTTCACAAATGCTAAACCTCTTCTAAAAAGCATGAGGGCACTTGATATTTATAAACTAAATATTTTCAAAATTACACAATTTATGTTTTAACATCAGTCAAAAAAAAGCCGAAGGTTTTCAAAAATACTTTCCATAACACATTAAACCGATACAACACTCGATCTACTAAGTTAAATTTGAAAAAAGTTTTTAAATTTTTGTTGACACAGGGCTGTTTAAATCAGAAACATTTTGAACTTTATCATTTTAATTGAATTTTTAAAAAATAAAGAGCACACCTAATGATAATTTTGAAAAAAAAGTTTAACGTTCCAAAACATCATTATTGTTATCGTTCGACACTTCAATATTTTTTTAAGTTTTTTTTGTTTAGGAAAACTTAATTAGAACTGCAATTGAGATAATTCTATGACTTAGTAAATAAATATTCTTTATTTACTGCTTCAGTATACTCATTGCAAGTTATACTAAAGAGTATATACTCTCTATTATAAAACCTAATTTATTCCTTAAGACCTTGTTCCTTAATTAATGTAAAGAGTTCATTAAATTAACGATTTCATTTTTGTTTGGATGGTTGAATATTTCACTTTTGGCATTTTTCATTGTTGGCTTTTGTCGAGAGGCATCTGACATCAGATGCCTCTCAACACGAGACCCCCAGCACACTTCAAATTGAGATAAAAGCAGAGGTTGAAATAAGCCAAGCCCATCAAATGTTCTAAAAAATACCATAGGTGTATTTTGAAGACTGTCATTGCTGCATCTCTAACAAATTGTTGCAGCTATAATCATTCAAAAGTCTCAACAGTCTTAATTCATGTATGGGACTCTTTCTGCCATGCCAAAATTTTGGTCTCAACAGTCTCAATTCATATATGGGACTCTTTCTGCCATGCAACAAACAGGCTAATGTCGGTCAAAGCTTTTATTTCATGAGAAGTGAGAGTCACTTGATTCTTAAAAGGTAGGATTTTGATGGAATAAATGCTCTTCGCCATCTACCTGATGTTTTCGCACTTCTTCTTTTGGGCAAACACCAAGACACAATTATAGAAGCTCGTCATAGTCTTGGCGTTGGTGATGGCTTTTTACAGCTTCTTTGTAGTCTCCAACCATTTCATCTTGGAGATCAGTCAAAGATACACTGAAGAGCGTTGCACCAGCAGCATCATATTTGTTTTGGTCAAATGTTGGCCATTCTTTTTGAAATCGTTTGTATAAACCTACATAAGGTCAAATGGTAGCTCCAAGATATGTGGATGTAAATACGCTGGAAAGTATTACTTCAAAAATATGGTGACGACATGCTATCCATGCAAGGTCTTTCTTGAGAGTTTTTTCAATAATTGTGCAAGCTCCAGATTTTAAGCTAGCTTTTGAGGCTGTTGTTTCAAAAACAAACCCACGTATTTTGTTTCTGAGATACCAATTATCCAATAGTTCAAGGCACTACCTTGCTCCTCTCCTGTTCCCTTTATAATTTTGTGAACCAAAAGCAACTTATTTTCTCGAGCTTCATACACTAGGATTGCAATTTTGTCTACCTTTACATTTGTCTGGACAATATCTGGTAGGAGTTTTTCATCCCAGTGCAATAGAAGTGGTACCTGGGAAACGACGGATAGTACTGCAAAAACTGGAATGTTATCTAGATCATGTCCAAGGGCTTGAGCAGCTGCAGCAATAACATAAGTAGCTTGCTGATCACTTTTTTTAACGCAATCAAGTGTGAGGCTCAAATCTGGAGTCAGAATATTATTCCTTGCTCTTTTTGGAGCTGAGTGAGGAAGCATTGTGGAAACGCCAAAAAATGCATCATCAGATACAAACTTAAATTTAGAAGCGGAAGATCTGGAAGAATACTCTGACAGTAGAATTGAAGCGACCACTTCTTAGTTTTTCCTGGCATCTTAAGCATCCCTTTTTTTTTGTTTTTAATATTTTTCTGCTCGTTTAACTTTTTGAGATTCTTGTTGGGCCAAATGCTTATGCGTACCTCCAAAACTGGAACTGGATAGATCTTCTCGCTGGGATAGCAGAAGCGGTTTGTATTTTTCTTGGTGCATAGTCTGCATGATCTTGCAACATCATGTAAATCATTTTTGAAAATTTCCTCTTTCACTCTGTATCCCTCGAAATTTTTTGTTGACTTTTTTTTACTTGTAGACAATATGTAACTTCAGCAATTTTTTGGCAGCATATCTAAGTGGCGTATTCGATATTGCAGCCTTTTCCCAGTAAAAAGACGGATAATATGGTCATTTTGGCACTTGAGTTTAATAATTTCTTTTCTACCTTGTGATAGTAGAGGAAGTTTGTCAGTACTTGTTGCTTTGAAGGAAGTCTGGAGCATTTCAACTCATTGGTTGATTTTCCAATTAACCACACACTGGCAGAACTTCTCGTTGTTGGAGCTTTTGCCATGTTTATCTAAAGAATGAACCATCAACCATTGTCTAAAGTTTACCAGTTCTGTTTATGATAAAGAAAACTTCTGTCTCATGCAAACGAAAAAATATTTGATGTATGATTGAAATAACCTAGTACTTCTATTACTAGTCTACTACGAATGATAGTTTTAAGTTTAATAATAACAATTTTCAGTTTAAACAATAGTTATATAAATATTTTATTTTATTTTAAAAATTTAATTTACCTTGGAATCTTTGAAGAATTCAAATTAGAGACAACTGCATGTGATATAATAAATAATTAGCAACTTTTAATTGACTTAATCAGTAATCAATAATCACATTAATAATAATAGAGACTCATGCAGGAAATACAAAATGACAAGAAGTGAAAGCAACTAAAAGTTGACTTAAATTAAAATTAAGTAAGTAAGCAAAAAAGGTTGCTATACAAATAATATATTTCTTTTTAAAATCTCATTTTACAGATTACAATATTAAATTTATTAAATAATTACTATACATTTATTTTTTTTATTATATTTCACATGAACTAAAACTAAAATTACTTAATACATACTCTCACACTTAGAGGTTAAAATATATAAAATGAAACCACCGAAAAAAAATGAAATAACTTCAGATAGGTAAAAAAAAAAAGTGAAAAATTACATAATATTTTTAGTGCCCGCTAAAATTATTCAAGCGCCGCCTCTAAATATTACTGAATCTGTCTCATTTTTGGACTGTCTCATTTAAAGACTCCTCTCGTGTATAGAAACAAGACCAATCATGATCTAAATCGATATTATTAAAAAAAAACGTTAGCACAGTAACTTGGACCACTCTACTAAACATAGATCTGCCCCCCCACGATAAAAAGCAACCTAAAATGTATAGAATGAGAGTATAACTTTGGCTAGTAAAAAATTCTATTGGACGAAATAAGGCCTATATATAACTTTTCAGACTCTAAACTTATTCACTTATAGTTTTTTTATTACTTTATAAAGAGCTTCAAATCGTTGGATGAGCTTGGTGCTAAACTCAAAACGAGAGGCTACCATCTTAGTAGAAGTGTTTTATACTCGTTTGATGCCAAAACGGAGCAGTTGGCTCTAAGATACGGGCCAAAAATAATCTCCATTCAAGTCACTTCAATGGTTCATTTTGCACAGCAACTAAATAGGGTGTGGAAGAAGATTGCTTATTTTGAGACCCTAAGGGTGTGTGCTTTAAAAGACAAAACGATTATCAATTAATGTAAAAAACGTTTTTTCTAGATTTTTTTATTTTAAAACATTGATAAACAGTATAAATATATTAATATTGGTACTTATTTTTTTATTTATCTATATTTAAGTATTAATTATCAACATGAGTATTAATAGGTAATATAAATATCGATAATATATTAAATTTATATGGAGTTTAAATAATATTAACAAATATAACTATTGATAAACAATATAAACATTTAAAAGAAATATAAATATTGATACAAAAACGTATATAGTAGCGTATATATAAACATTAAATTAAATATAAATAAAGATATTGTTTCAATAAAAACAACTTAAAATCCCACCTTCATTGCCAACAACCAAATATACCATTAAGGTAAACAATGATAATGTTGTTTTCAGGTAAACGCGAACATGTTTCATTTTGGTGTAGCTAATTTCTATGTTTAAATAATATTTCACTTTTACATTGCATTTAATAAGAAATGATTTCAAAGCTTGAAAATAAGGTTTTTAACTTTTTTTGAAAATCTTGTTTCAGTTGTACTATTTATAATTGCATTGTTCTGATAAAAGCCCTAAAAAAATAAAAACACAAAATCCTTTAAAAACTCTTTAAATCAAGTCCCTCAGTCTAAGTAAACAAATTCTAAAAAGTCTAAAACAAATTTTAAAATATGACAACGCAGAAACCAAATAATCTTTATTTAAAATATTATTGTCCGTCATATTGTAGTCCGAAATTATTGCTTTAATTGAATAGTGTACAATGTACACTGTACATATTTTATTTATATCGCCATGACAAAAATAATAATAATAATAACAACAATAACAATGTATTATTATAATAAATAAAATTAAATAAATGGACAAATTTTATGCACTATTTTGCCTTATTCCGTCTTTAATTTGTTTTACTTCATCTAAATTTTGTCTTATTTACTTAATCACATCACAATAACATAAAGTAAATTTATCTTTATAAGATTGAGGAAGTCTAATCTAATTGATCTACTCCGTCTAATAACCCAAAGTCAACAAAAATTTATGAAGTCAAAGTCAACAAAAATTTATGAAGTAACTTTATTTATAACAAAAAATACAAGCATTATGAGTTTAATAATAAAAATTTAGAAAAAAAGTATTTACTTTTTTTTTTAAATTTGCATTTTTTTCGTTAATGTCTGTTGTTAGTTTTATGTCTTATGATACTATTTTAATAATAATATAATAACTGTATAATAAGTAAGTTTTATTTCGTTAATGTCTTGTTGTTAGTTTGAGGACATTTAAAGGCTTAAAAAGTTAGCTGTAGTAACAACAACGAACTGGCAGTTAAGCTTACTTAAAGCGATAAATATTAAACAATATTCGGAAATGAGGAGTCATTTCTGTTTAGTTGATTGAAGAGTCTTATCTAATATATTCCTGCATAATGTTATATAAGATTGTATTTCTACAAGCTTTATAAAATTGAAAAAGATCTGTCTTTTTTTTATTAAAAAATTATTTTGAGCATAGTGGAGTTAAAAGGTTTAAAGAGTTAAAAAAAATAAGTTTAAAGAGTAAAAAAAAAAATGCTTTAGAGTGATTTAAAAATATTTATTAGTTAAAATGATAACGATGTTTAAAACGCTTCGGTTTCTCGAAGCAGAATATCTTAACTCTTCATAACTATACTTCAAACAAATATAAAACTGCCAGAACATGTGAGAATAATTTGTTCAAATGGTAAAAAATATATGCTAAAGTGCATGATTTAAATAAATACATAAAAAATATGCGATTTAAGCAAATAGAGGTGCTGATTCTATTTATGTTAAAAAGTCAGCAAAATAGAACACAAATATGTTTGTATCAGCGAGGTAATTGTTTATATCAGCAAGGTAATACCTCTCATTTGTAAATTTACAAATATTCAACGCCATATTCCCCCTTAGATGAGAGGAAGGACTTATAAAATTTATTGCTTAGCGTGAATTATTGTGCAGCAGAATAAATATTTAATTGTAAATATAAACATGATTTTATATAAATTTAAACATAAATATTTAAGTAAACCATCCTAAAAAAGTTTTCATTAATATTTTTTAGCAGAAGAAAAAAAAAATTTTTTTGTTCAGCAAAATAGCTTAATCAATCCTACTTATTTGTAAAAAAAAAAAAAAATGTGCTTTTAATATGTTACAAAACTTTAACATGTTATTTTTATAAAGATGTTTTATATTATTTTAATATTTTTATAAAGATGTTTCAACTGATTCATAGAGAATATTGGTTTTGTAAAGGTGGTTTGACTGATTATTGGTTTGACTGATTTTTAATTGATAATACTTTGTAAAGAAATAGCATCAAGTTTTGTTTACTTTTTAGTTTGACAGCGTTGAAATATAATAAATAATAAAAATATGATAGCATAAAAATAACTTATTATGCTTTTAAATGTAATTGTTTGTATTTTTATTGTTTGATTTTTTTATTTTTATTTTGAACAGTAAAAATAATGTCATTTTTATAGAGGTAAACGCATTAATTATATAAACAAATTTATTTGCACTTTGCTGTTTATGTTTACTATCTGGCTGTACTAACATCCTAAAGTTCTTTTCGCTGTCGATTACTAATGCAAACTTTGTTGAGTCAGACACCATTGTATTTTATAATAAGAAATAATTAAATACTATAACTAGATTGTGGTTTGATACACTCATTTCCAATGATTTTTTTTGTTTGTGTATATATAATAGCAAGTAAGATATTAATAAAATAACACGTGAGATTAAGAGAAATTTTCGAAAAGAAAATTCTTTTGATTTAATTTTGTTTTATAAATGTAACTTTATTATAGTTTTCTTTCTCTGTATTACATAGCGGGTGTTTAATCAAATAAATAGTGTAATAACAGTAATAATTTTTATTGTTATAATAAACAAAATTTGCAATGAATAATGTTGAACAAATAGTTGTTTTTAGTACCAAAATGCACGTCGTATTAATACCGCGTAAAATAAAGGTCTTTTCTAAAGATGTCTGTCGTCTTTTCCAATAACTTTAAAGAGTTTTTTTTTTTTTTTATAAATAAGTATAGAATAAATTAAAAAATGATTTTTTTTAGCTTCTGTATAATATTTATAAAATATTAATTTTATTCATTATTTCCAGTTATTATTTTACAATACGTGAAAACTAAAATATTTTGAGCAGAAGAATTTACTCTTTTTCGACCACTGACCTGCAATGTTGTTCATAAAATTTGTTCCTAAATATAGAGTGAAGTTGTTCCTAAATAAATAGTGAAGTTGTTACTAAATACAGAATGAAACGCATGGTGGTCCCTCAGTTACTTTGTATCAGCAAGACCTTGAAAAATGCATCTGAAAAGTGAATAATATTTTTATTTGGTGCCTTAATATTTTTATTTGGTGCATTAATCATTTGTATTTTAAACTTCTCAAAAATTAATTTTCAAAATTGCCTAAAAATTACGCAACTATTAATGAAATTCGGAATACTTGCCGAAAAACTTTTTTCAGAACTTTTTGTTGAAAAAACCCAATATGCAGATTATTTTGGGTATTTTGAAAATCTATAGTTAAAAGTATATTGTAATACCTAAGTTGTCTTATTTAAAAAAAAATTACCTCTTCTGAAGAAAATTACCTTCTGAAGTATTTGCAGACGATACTAAACTTTTTTCTAAAACTTCATCGCAGACTAATTTCGTTGATCTGCAGGACCGTCTACGCTTAGTATACGAGTGGTCAAACACTTGGTTACTTAAATTAAACATTTCAAAATGCTGTATTATCCATTATGGTAAAACCAATCCTATGTATAGCTACTTTTTAAAAAATAACCAAGGTATAAATGAAAGCCTAAGAAGCTCTGTTAAAGAGCGCGATTTAGGAGTCATTTTTACATCTAACCTCAAGTGGAGTACATATATTCAATCAGTTGTCTCCAAATCTTTACAAATTCTTGGTATGCTAAAAAGGACTTTCACCATTGTTAATGAAAAAATGGCTCTCAAATTATATAAAGTACCACACCTGGAATGTGCAGTGTCTGTTTGGGCCCCGTATTTAAAAACTGGCGTAGCTTTGGTTGAATCTGTTCAACGTAAAGCAACAAAATGGGCTTTAAACTTGAGAAATCTTCAATACTATGAAAGACTTAAAAGACTAAACTTACCATCACTCGAGTTTCGGCGCCTACGATGCGATCTAATACAAATTTTTAAACTACCAATTATATAATAGATCAGCAAAATACTGGAATGAACTACCCAAGCAAGTAACTTTATACTCCGCTGTACTTCTTTTAAAATTAGATTTATAAAACTGGTTGTTTATAGTAGGGTGTTTTCCCTGCTCGCTGTATGTATATATGGTATGTATATTTTACGGCTACAATTGTAATAATAATAATAAAAATTTCTATATTTAAACGTACAACAGTTTGAATTTTAGTTTGAATTGAAAACTAAAAGTTATAAAACTTGTTTTGAAAAATTTTCTAATGTCGCCGCTGATAACAAATAATAGTTCATAAACGGGAAAAAATGTAAACGAAAAAAAAATCAAAAACTGCCTTTTATATAACCAACATATATATTCTCGCATCTTAAAATCAGACTAAAATATTGCACAATTACATAGAGCATAGCATTAAAACAAGATGGAGTGGGAATGAGTGGGGGTACCCTGCTTGTTTTAAAAGTTATAAACTGCCAACGATAAAAAAAATCCTCTGATTCTCCAACATGCTGACTTGAGATAAATAGTCCAAATCCAAGTTCTTAGTTTCTCAGTATAATGGTCTCGCACTATTTTTTATTGGTAAATTTTGTTTTTTACAAAACAAGTTAGTTTACCGTTGTTATTAAAGATATCTTTTGTAGACTGCAACAGTGCACTATATAATATACCATGGCATAATTATATTATACATGTGTAATTAAGTTTTATAATAGAGTAATGTGTTTAAATGGTAAAATAATAATCAGCTAAAGACACAAAAGTTAAAATAAATGTTGAACATTATTGCGATAGAATTTTAAGAACTTTTAAAGTCTTGGTCTTGGTCTTGGTTTGAATTGTTGACGTCTTGGTCTTGGTATTGAGCCCAAATGTCTTGGTTTTAGTCTTGGTCTTAGACTTTACTGTTTTGACTACATCTTTGACAAGAAGTCACCCAGCCAAACAAAACACAAGGGTACCATAAAGTCATTGATAAAGCAGCATATTGGTAACTCTTGGGTCCGTAAAAGCAACTTGCAAGTATCTTAAGTCTCGCAGGCGCCTTTTTTAATTTTTTTTTTTTTTTTTTATTTTCTCTTTGAACATTATAAACTTTTTTTATTCAGTAAAAAAGAATTCAATAACAAAAAATAAAATAATTAATAATATTATACAAATAAGTCTATGTTTTTTAAC